GTCGGTGCCAGATGTGTGCGCACGAAATCTGAATATCTGAAATATTTAGATGGAAATTATCGAGCAGTCAATGGGGCCCGCCGGTAATAAAAAATGAATGGGTTTCTCCAGCCATACTTGCTCTTAAACCTTTGTTTTTGTCTCGGAGACACCGCGTTTTCTTCGCTGCCTCCTTCGCTGACAGTCCACGGCTTGGGCTTATCTTAATTATTATACCCGGTACTCAAGGAGTAAATAGGGTATATTGTATTTGTGGGTAATAACGGTTGTATTTAACGCACAGAAGGAAGCGTTTCCTACCCCATAAAGTATAAATATTCTTGATCAGCATCAATAGCCGAGTCGATAGAGCCATGTCTGTCTGTCCGTCTGTACGTCTGTCCTCCTGGATCTCAGAGACTATAAGAGCTAGAGACACAAAATTTTGCTTCCAGACTTCTGTATGCTCACACTGAAACCAGTGTATTTCAAAAATGAGCCACGCCCACTTCCGCCCCCGCAAAAGGGCGAAAACCTCCCAAATCTACAGTTTTGAAGATAAAAGAAAACTAAAAACGCCATTCCGTAGGAAATGGTCATATCTATAAGATCACCAAATTGGGATCCGATCGGATCATTATTATAGCCACAATGGATAAATTAATTTCCAGTGGCTAAACCCACCCTGTCCTGCAGCTTTTGTTGCTCTTTTTACATTCTCTCATTCACACTCTGCTTCTGCTTCACTCGGCCCCTGCCTCTGCCCTCCCCCTGCCGATTCCTCTTACGACTTTTAACCCACCCCGTCCAGCAGCTTATATTTGTTTTTTTTTTGTGTGCGATCGCTGCCTCTGCCGCGAGTCTGCAGTATGTGGGTCTATGGAAGAAAGATGTAGATGACAGATGAAGAAAAAATTTAAAATTTGACAAAACACCGCTGAGGTGCAGATGCACTATTGTCACAATGACCAGTTTTGGTGGCTGTTTACGCCAAATTAGCGCAAAGGGATTAGGGCCGGGAGCAATTAGTATTTTGTATAAGTAAAATGAATTTGTAGCATTAAGATATTGAATTGTGGCATTTACGACATACTCACAGAAGTTTGTTGCTATAGAACATACATGTAATATGTGAATACGATAGAGAAAGAGGAAGAACATGCATTTAATAGGTGAATATCGAAATTGAAAAGAAGAAGAGATTAAATTGATTGGAATTCCGACTCGGTCGAACCAGCAGCACTTGGCTTTTTATTTCGAGATTTTGATTCCGCAATGGGTGCGAGGAGTTGCGCAAACAGTGGCCAAAAGCTAATTTTTAAAAGATAAAACCAAGACTCGGTTTTTAACGCTCTGTATTAGAAAAAGAGTGACCATCAAAGTTGCGCACCAGAAAATTTCATAGATGGCGCCACTTTCGAAAAATCTGCTGTGAAACCTAGCGGTCATTATTGCACAGAATGTGCAGGGAAAAAGTACCAATTTTATTGCTGTTTTAAATATCTCATAAATTGGAAAATACGATTAACTGATCCACATTTTTTGATGCATTTTATTTAGTAAGCTTTTTACTACGTGGTCTGTAATGTGAACGATATCTAGTGGTTGGCGATGTCTTCTACATCTAGATGTATTCCTGAGTGCCGGGTATAAAAGAAGAAGCGTAAGAAGCGTCTCACACGTCCCTTCTCGTTTTTCGTGTAATTATGACGACACTATGTACTTTTTTTTATATCAGCTGAGATTTTCAAGAAATGGATTTTAAATTATACCTACAGCCATTGAAGTATTAGGGCAGGTGGTACTAGGACTCTTGGCTGAATCTTGGCTGATTTGCTTAGACCCTACTGATGAGGAGGAGAATTTTAAAGGAGGAGATTTTACGTTTTATAACACTGAAGCACTAGGCAGGTGCTTTAAGATAAGAGCAAAAACAGACGGAAGACAAGGATTGAATTGAGAGGGGCCACTGCTGGTGCTGGAAAAGAAACTCCCAAAAGCCCGTGAGAAGAGGCAGTTGACGCACGACCATGTCTATGGAAAATCACGGAAAGAAAACATTTCGACAATGTTTCCGTGACGAGTGCATGGGAGTGTTACTGCAGAAATAAAAAAAGAAGGTAAGATATGTACATACATGTTAGTGTGTTTACCTTTTATTGTAGTACCAAAAAAAGCGCCTTTACATTTTAGCCATGTCTGTCCGTCCGTCTTGTTGAGCGCCTGGTTCTCAGAGACTTTAAAAACTAGAGCCACCAAATGTTGCATCCAGATGGCTGTCTGCTCTCACTGCTACAAGTATATTTCAAAATTTCGCCCCGCCCTCTTCCGCCCCCCTCAAATCACGAAAATCTTCGGTATCCACAGTTTTGAAGACTAAATAAATCTTAAACTCCGTAGGGAATGACCATATCTATCAGATCACCGTATTGGGAACCGATTGGATCATTATTATAGCCAGAATGAAGAAATTAATTTTCAGTGGCTGCGCCCACCCCGTTCAGCAGCTCGTTTTGTTTTTTGCACATTCTCTCATTCACACTCTGCTTCTGCAGTGTGCGTCCTCTGCCTCTGCTGAGCCTCTGCCTCTGGCGTGGATCAGTAGTGTGCGGCTCTAGGGGAGGGGGAAGAGCGAAAATGGCGTGCTGGCGTGAGAAGATATGTAGATGTAGATGTATAATACAGGTTTAGCAAAAATGTAACATGTCAAATGTAAAAAAAAACAAAATGGTACAGGTACACTGACTGAGGACCAGGTATAAAAGTTGTGAAGCGTAAGATGCGTCTCACACTACCCTTCTCGTTTTTATCTAATTTAATAAACGCAATGAGTTTGAAAATGAATATTTTTGTATACATATATATGTCTGTTCTTTTTGCGTTCTTTGAGATTCTTCGTTCTCTTTTATGCATTCCAAGGATGTGCTATGGAATGAATCGTTTGAACAGTTCCGGAACGGTTCTTAATAGGTTCCTATGGCACGATATTATATGCATACTCCATTCATTCCCATGGAACGCATATAGATGCATGCCAAATATGTGTTCTGTAATGCCTCTTTCGGAAACTTGTATGGTAGTCTTTTCGAAGGCTGAGGTAACTCAGCCTCTCCAGGGCCACCTTACAATGAAAAATGTGTAAAGTGCCGGGACCCGAGATTGCGGAAATGGAGACGCTGTGTGGGAAAGGTGGGCATATGAGGCGGAAAGGGAACCTGATCGACAACGGTCATCCGGTGGTTAGCGGAGGCGCCTTCTGGAAGTGTAGCCGCCCTGTCTGATCCTACTCGAGTGCCCCTGGTAGTACCTAGGAAGCACCCGTTCCGGAGACAGACACACCCCGTTTGAGAGCCCGCAGTCTGGCGCGGTAATGACCTGCGACCAGCCCAGTGGACCCTCCAACGGTGGGCGACCACACTTACCTTCATGAACTTTGGGAAGGGGAAAGGGTTAGATGCACACTGTTTTAAAATTCCACGAGCACATTCTTTAGGTTTCTTTTATTTCTCGTGTTTACTTCATATTTCTTGTCTTCTTTTCTTCCTGTCTTATCGCCTATGTCCCTACCTTATTCGCACCAAACTAAGTCGTACCAAAAGGGATGAAGCCCACAGCCTGGCCTACCCGATCCTCTCGAGCCTATGGGTCTTGGTTTGTCCTCACCCGGCGCCTGTTCCTTGAGCCCCTTCTGGGCAAAGTGGTCTTGGGCCTCTCGTGGGCACGTGGTGGGTATGTGTCGGTCACGGCGCACTTTTCACTTGTTCCACTGTTGTCGCCGCAGCGATATCGACTTGTTCTCCCGGTGTCCGAAACCTTTCTCCCCGTGGCGAGCTCTGCGTGGCGATCGCGAGCCCTTAGCTGCGGACCCGTCCATGAAGAAACTATAAGGAGGCCTCGTCGGCAACAGTGAAAAGTACGAGTGAGAGGGCTCTCGCTGCAAGTGAGGGCAACGACAATGGAGTGTGCTGATCATGAAGAAAACATTCGTCCGCAACCAACCTTCCGCGTCGACAAGCAAACGAGCACTGAACCTAGGCAGATCCAGCGAGTAACTCTGCCACAGACAAGGCCTCCTTATAGTTTCTTCATGCCCGTGTCCAGGCTGCGCTGCCGCTGCTGCAGCGACTGCCAACGCCCGTGGCCTTTTCTGCTGTTGGCCGCTCTCGGGCTGCTGCCAGCGTCCATGAAGAAACTATAAGCATAAAGCAACTACATAAGGAGGCCTCTCGGTGGCAGAGTTTCGCGCTGCTTTTCACAATTCTCAGTGTACGTTTGCTTGTCGACGCGGAAGGTTGGTTGCGGACAAAATTTTTTTTTTCAAATTTGTTCAAAATGTTTATTTTTTCAGAACACAGACTACTATTATGTAGCAAACTATTAAAAATTAAATTATGAAACAATTATTATGTTTTTTCACATTGCCTTCATATGATTAATCAGCACACTCCATTGTCGTTGCCGTCACACTTACAGCGAGAGCCCTTTCACTCGCACTTTTCACTCGCACGTTTCCATAATTTTTTCCGACGAGACCTCCTTATATAGTTTCTGTATGCTCGTGCCGTAGGTCTCTCTCATGAAGAATCTATAGTTTCTTCATGGTCTCTCTCTGCTCCGTTCTTCGATCGGCTCGTGCCGTTGGTCTCTCTCTGCTCCGTTCTCCGACCACCTTGGGCTTGAACTTAAGTTATTCCTTCAGAATTTGTCTTTGCAGTATAATAATGAAAATTATAAACTTACAACCAAAACTTCATAATTAGCTCTCATAAATGCTTAATAAAATATATAAAACAGCTTAATTCCTAGTGAAAACTTAATCAAAGATAACAAATAACTTCATGATACATCCTACTAGTGTCCCTGCTAAATACGTAAACCTACCAATTATAACTACTACTTATATCCTACTAAAATTGTGCGTCGTCACAAACTACACTGGAAGGGAAACCTGAGCGATTCACGAAGTTGAAATTACAACAGCCCGTGTATTGACATGGAGTGGGAATATAAAAGAAACTCACCACGTAGTATCTTCTTCTCGTGGTGTCCGTGACAGCAGAAGCCCTGGCATGAGCGCGTCTGGAAAAGCGTTGGGCAGTGCTTTCCCCCGTTTTGGGCCACTTGCAGAACCTGGCGGCTGCGGGTCATCAGTCCGCTGCCGCAGCTCTTGTTGCACTCGCTCCAGGCGCTCCAATCACTGGCTTGGCAGTCCAAAACTTTAATATACATAGAATAGGATACATAGGATGTATTAAATGGAATGAAATTTCCACAGCAGTCAAAGTATAGTCCCAGATCAACGTGGCTTAAGTCTAACCAAAAAGTGGGGCTCCACCTCTACCACCACCGCCACCCATGGTAGATGCACCAAGTGCATCTAAACGCTGCTCTAAATGGGTGAGATGGCCATAATGGCTCAAGTTTTTATACCCGGTACTATTGTATTTGTGTGAATAACGGTAGTATGTAACGCGCAGAAGGAAGCGATTCCGATCCCATAAGGTATATATATTCTTGATCAGCATCAATAGCCGAGTCGATAGAGCCATGTCTGTCTGTCCGTCTGTCCGTCTTGTTTGTCGGCTAGTTCTAAGAGACTATAAGAACTAGAGCCACCAAATTTTGGCTCCGGACTGCTGTATGCTCACACTGAAACCAGTGTATTTCAAAAATGAGCCACGCCCCCTTCCGCCCCCGCAAAAAGGCGAAAACCTCCCAAATGTACAATTTTGAAGTTAAAATAAAACTAAAAACGCCATTCCGTAGGAAATGGCCATATCTATCAGATCACTAAATTGGGATCAGATTTCATCATTAATATAGCCACAATGGAGAAATTAATTTCCAGTAGCTAAACCCACCCTGTCCCGCAGCATTTGTTGCTCTTATTACATTCTCTCATTCACACTCTGCTTCTCCTTCACTCGGCCTCTGCCTCTGCCCTCTCCCTGCCGATGACTCTTCCGACTTTTAACCCACCACGTCCCGCAGCTTATATTTGTTTTTTTATTTTGGTGTGCGATCGCTGCCTCTGCCTCTGCCCCGAGTCTGCAGTATGTGGGTCTAGGGAAAGGCGGCGAGCGTGTTGGTGTGAGAAGTGTTGTAGATGTAGATGACAGATGAAGAAAAAATTTAAAATTTGACAAATAAACGCTAAGGTGCAGATGTTGTACTGAGTGCCGGGTATAAAAGTTGTGACGCGTAAGAAGTGTCTCACACGTCCCTTTTCGTTTTTTTTTTTTTTATATTTTCCTTGCAGAAGTTTCCATCCAAAAGTCATTAATTTCCTTGCAACCTTCCCTCCTCCAGTTAGACCCAGAATAGCCAGCGAGCCATCGTGCAAACTGGCCCAATCAATCCTTGTTCAAAGATACAGCGAATTCGCATTCATGGCGCGCCGCCAGCATTCTTCGTTTATGGTTTGATTTATTAGAGTTCGCCGTTAGCTTTCGTCACTTCGTCTATCCAGTAAATATGTACATACATATGTACATACTCACTGCTGATCATCGTGCTCCTGCTGCTGCTGCCTGGTCTCTCATCTATGTAACTTGTGCTCTCAGTGCGTATTTTCTCTGACTCTGCACCGTGACCCAACAGCTGTTGAAAATGGCTATTATCTGCAGTGCAAAGAAATGCGAATTTGGTGGCACCATTAACGGTGATTCCTACCTAAGCTGCTGGCTTTCTGATAATTACGCTCATATCAAATTAGCTGGAGGTGGTCAGTTTGGACGTCTTAATGACTCAATATTAAAACGCATGGGTCTTTCTTGGTATTGTTTGGCCTGCCGGGATATTGAGGCGGAAATGCGCACCTTTATGAGGCAAACGAGATGTTCGGAAGCGATTCAATGCTCTCAACGAGAAGGTTCTTACTTTGGAATCGCAATACTGCTGGTCTTACCTAGTGGGACTTCTGCCTCTCACCTACAACCGATGGACTCATTTTCTACTCCTAGTGGCCAACCTTCACCTATGGATCCAACCTTTCTCACGGCTAACAACATAGTAGTTGCCTTAAAAATCCATACCCCTGTCAATTTAACTTCGGACTTTTCTGAAGTTCCACTCAGGGCGGTGGTCCCCCGCAAAGCAATCTTTGTCTCTCGTCTTACATATTTATATCAGAAGCCACATGATGTCAAACTACATCTAAGCTCTTACCTTTAATCGCCGCCTGATAAATTTAATATAACTTAATTTAAATTTACTCATAAGCGTAATATCTCATCTTTCAAAATCCTTCTTCCCGATTCTCTTGTATCCAAAACTTTGGAACCGTCTGCATGGCCTTAGCACACTATTATGCATGAAAATCTTCCTAGAGATTCTACCCAGAATACTTGAGTTACACTCCCTAAGATTTCAAGAATCTAAGGAACCATTTGTCCATGTAATATCAGAAGGTTTTCAGTGGTTAGGTAAATTGTCTAAAATACGTACGGACAATGCCTCTTTTGAATTCGACGCTATCGATATAACTGAAACCTGGCTTAACTCCTTAGTCTCCTATCATGAAATTTCCGTCCACAAGTTCACTACCCATAGAATGGATCGTCTATAATTTGCTGGTGGGGTTCTTATTGCAATGAAAACAACATTTGCGTCCTAGCTGTTTCCATTTGAAAACATCCATGGTATTGAATTCGTTGCAGTCAAAATCCGTATTGGAACGGCGTTTATCTTTTTGACCTGTTCTTATATTCTTCCAGATCTGATCCTGTTGTCTATTTGAACCACCGTTCTCAAATTCATTCTGTAGTTTCTGCTTTAGGCTGTGTTGAAAGTAGCATCAGCGAGTTAGCAGCGGACTGTTGTTAACAGCCGGAGCTCGCTCGCGCTCTCACTCCCTACGCTCTCGCGCTCTTCCTCTTTCCTGGCGCTCGCGAGCTGGCGGGCAGCTAGCCGCTAAGCTAAGCTCAGTTTCCATAATCACCACCGTACATTCCGGTACAAGCGAGTCGACATACGAAGTTATACTCTACATACACACTTCCGATTTCATACCAAAAATTTTACACCCGCGCCGTTCGAGTGCTTAATAAACCGCCTGTACATACATAATATCGAATATACTGTGGCTCTTCATTTCGGGACGCTTGGACTTTCCGAGGAGTTTATCTGCAGCGACAGGAAGCCTCCCTCCTACAAACAGGCTGTGATGATCAGATATTAGTTATGGGTGACTTCAACATGCCATCTTTTTCTTGCCAACAACTGGAAGTCAAGATGATTTCGTCGAGGGGGTAACTGACGTCTCTCTTGCCCAAATTAACTCTGTCAGAAATAATATGCAACGGTTGTAAGAGGCAATCCGATATCTTTTCCTGAAGATCCGCATCATCCTCTTTTATCTATAGGAATCGAGTTTTCAAGCATTTACACCATTTTACCTTCAAAAGGTCATATAAAGTGTTTTCGCAAAACTAATTTGATCGATCTCGTCTACATCTCTCGCAAGTTGATTGGTCGTTTCTTCAGTCCTCATCAAATAAAGAGCCTACTGTCAATTTGTTTTACGAAACATTATACTCTGCCCCTGAAGTCCCTGAAGTCACCGAATATGTTTCCTCTAAATCTCTCTGGCTTTCCAAGTATCTGTCTTACCTAAAAAATAAAAAATCCCGCCTCTACAAAAAGTACCAGATAACTGGTCCTTTGTTTGTCATTGCTCAATATTCTTCGTTTCGCTCTCAATTCAAGTCAGGATAAGACAGAAACTCCGCTCAGGGTATTGCAGATTTGGTTTCCACCTTCTTTCAACCGACTTTCTTACTCATCGGATACTTATGACTTCCCTTATCCATACTATCTACCTCATGCTAACAACATATTCCATTCCCTTCCTCGAAGAAAGTACAGTCATCAATTGACATAGGTTTCTCTGCGGGTCCAGATAAAGTTCCGATTTGGAAAACTATCTGTCATTCCAAAACTGCTCGAGCACCTTGTGACTCGTCAACTGCAACACGCATGCTCTAGTTTAATATCCCCGTCGCAACATGACTTTTTTATATATCGATCACTTGCATACTCGCCTACAACTTTGCTTTAAGCTTTTAGTTTTTGATGTTCGAATAAAGTAATTTTCTTGTAATATTCTAAGTGCAAGCTCCTACTCTCTTGGACACCATGTTTTGGTGTTCCAAATCAAATGACTTAGGAATCCCTTTTGACCACAAGCTATGTCTTAATAGCCATATTGCTTCAACGGTTAATAAAGTTAAGGGAGTCTTAGCGTTTATTAGGCGTTGGTCGAAAGAGTTTGATGATCCGTATATGTATAACCAAAATACTTAACGTCTCGTTGGTACGCCCGATATTGGTGTATTGTTCTTTTGGGTGGACTCCACAACACAAGGAGCCGTTTACCATTACCTTACCTTAGAAAATTTGTAAATTGTATCTTTCCTTCCTTTCTTGTACATATATTTACTTTATTTGTATTCCTTAATTTCCATAACTAGCAGATAATTGTTAATTTAAATAAACAAATAATTAAAAATTCGCTCTTCTGGGTACGGCGGATTTTTTGAACAGCGTCGCCGACCCCTTGGAGCTTCTTGTACACTTTCAGCTTTCTCAGAATTTCTGCGTAGCTGCTCGGGTTTTTTCCCGCGATGATGATGGCATCAGGGCGTGCCTTCTCCGTCAGCACCCGGTTAGGCTTAGTGTTGGGCTTTCTCGTTCTCGCTCTATTCTCCACTTGGTTCCATCCAGAGTTTTGGGGGATGAGGTTGGAGGCCCCGAATCGACTGATCCTTTGATTGGCTCTGCGTCTGTGCCGACCGAACTGGTTGTCTTCTGGCCGTCTATCCATTTGCTCCTTTTGTTGCTAGGCGTTTAAGAGTTCGCCTGCTTTCTCTTCGGCTCCACCGCTGTCCTTAACAAGGGAGATGTTTGGCAGGACTGGTGGGTGCGAGTCACCGCCTTCGCTATTTCGTCGTGGAGCTGGATGGCCACCAGCTCGTGGAGCGTGCGGATGCTCTCTATAGAGTTCCCCATCAGCTGGTGAATAGAGCGCGTCTTTCCGTCTTTAAGAATTTTCGAGGTCTCGGAGCGCCGTGCTCCTCTGGTCCTTTTTTAATCTCTCCTGGACTACTCTGTCCGATGCGACCGATGGTCACACCTCCACCGGTAATCTCGAAAGCCTTCCGCTCTTCACGAATGCATTTTCGCTTTCAGTTGTTGTGTTTGTGTCTGTAGTTAATTT